GAGAAACTTTTTCCCATTTTTAACGCGAGTCGAGCGCGTCACGGTGGGTTTTCAGGGGTGGGGCGATGTGTTTTCTCACCGCCGAAAACTTTCGCGTAATCATTCAGATCGCAAAAAGAAACAGAAACATCAAAGCATCCCTCTGTTCATACCAAACACGAATGTTTAACCAAATATATCCGCATCTGAATGATATTTATATACATTTAATTCCAAACAATGTCACACTGATGGACAGTAGCATACATTTTTCCATAATATGGGACCAAAGTTATTCTCTTATTCTTAAAACTTGATTAGCAAAGCCTTTGTGTATTTAACAAATGCAATAACTAGCAACCAAACACACGACGTATTCCATGTAGCTATTATTATCATCATCTTCATAAACTTATGAAAGCCGCCATTCCCAGCAAACCGAGCCGTCTTTTCTCCGGCTCTGGACACAATGATCCCGCAGAAAGCTCAAGTTGGTTTGTCAAGGACACTGCAGCTCATATTAGCCACGGAAAAGCCGCCGGGTGTGGAAAGAGTGGAATAAAAGCCCGGTCGCGGTACCTTTTTGCCGTTTCTGCTGTTGTATCCGCTGTAGGGGTTGAATCCCGTGCGCGGCGGTACGGAGAGCAGCATTTTCCTCGGCGCGGTGTCCGGAGCGGCCGCTGACGTCAGTGAGAGGAAGTTCAGGCGGGATCCAGAGAGTCCCGCTGCCGCCGCCGGGAGCTCTACACCCCGCCCGGGTCCTAGCGCCACAGAGACCCGCTCCAGACCGCTCCAGACACGGACACAGCGCGAGAATAAACCCGGCTGTGCTCTTTACTGTATGCGGTGGAGGCTGACAGAGTGAAAGAAGTGCGACAAAACAAACGATGTTCAGCAAATAAATAATTATAGCATAATTCCGAAAAAAAATATTTTTTAAGAGTTTTATTTTTATAATTTTATTATTTATTATTTTATTATTCTATTTTTTATTCTATTTATTATTATTATTATTTATTCTATTTTTATTCTATTTATTATTCTATTTTTATTATTTTATTTTTTATTATTTTATTATTTTATTATTCTATTTTTAAGAGTTTCTAACAATTTATATGGGCTGAATTAAAACAAATTAAGCTGAACGTTACTAAATTTGTTTGTTTAAATGCAGCCTATATAATTTTTTTCCAACCACTTAGGCCAACTTAAAAATTGTAAATACAATGAATAATTTTTTAATACATTAAAATATTAAAATTTCCAAATGTTTGGTTGCAGCTGAAAGGGCATCCGCTGTGTAAAACATGTGCTGGATAAGTTGGCGGTTCATTCCGCTGTGGCAACCCCTGATTAAGGGACTAAGCCAAAAAGAAAATAAATGAATAAAAATATTATGAAAAATAAGAAGAAAATTAGTTTTTTACGGGACCTAAATAGTTCTATATTGCATGGCTGCAAAACCCCTTCAGGCCCGTAGCCAGCCTATGCGGTTCCTTTTTCTCCAAAAGTGGACCTTTTTGCAGTTATACGCCTCATTTTTTATTTAACTATGAGATTTAAAAACTGCATTTTAGTGACATTTTAAGCACTATTTTAACTGGATTAGCTTGATTGTCGATCACTTTTTGAAGTACCAAAAATATTTCCTAAAGATTTAGAATAAAGAGATAAGAAAAAAAATACTTATTATTAAAATATAAATTTATTACTTCATACATCATAAAAAATAGGAATCTTTAACATTTTCAATTAAAAAACGCCTATAAAAATAGCCTAGTTTTATTTAATAGGCAAATAACAAACCGGCCAGCACATTCAACTGTTCCTCAGTCAGAATTTTGCCATTTGAATATTAAAAAACACAATAATAATAATAATAATAATAATCATCTATGTTCACACTGAACAAATGTGAGAGTAGGAATTTTATTTATCTAAATATTTCATTTATAAATTGATTGTTATATTATATTATATTATATTATATTATATTATATTATATTATATTTATGCGTTTTTCTGTTTATTTATTCAAAATATTTCATTTTAAAGCAATTTATTTTATTATATTTTACTATATTCCTGTCGAAATGAGAGAAATAAGACTTTCTCTAGAAGAAAAATATCATAGGAATTGGGAAAATATTTTATAAATACTACAAATTTCACAGGAGAGCTAAAAAATGTTGTATTTACCATATGAGATGGATAAAATACAATACACGCCATATAAAGACACTGCAAAAATGATTTTCTTTGTATTTCTGTTCTTATAAATGTGCATGTGTGTGTGAAATGTGAAACTGGGCATCTCGCCTTCAGATGAACATGCATGTGTCGGTGTGTGACTCTCTGGAAGTGTCCCTCTGGAGACTACTATGGTTTGCATATAAACAACTCTGTAGCCAAGCAGCAAAATTCCCCTCAGTTCTGAATATTTGTCTCATAAAATGCAGACAAATGAGCCTCTGAGAGCCATGAGAGACTGTGCTTGTGTGTTTGTTGTGTGCATGGTTACACACGGTTAAAAGTGCTGCGTCGCCTCCTCAAGACCATCAAAACTGAATGATGTCACTTTAAATAATGTATTCATTCAAGGGGTTAATAATAATAATTCTGGTTAATAATTCTGACTTTAACTGTATATATATATATATACATACACCAAAAACACATTAATTTTTAGCGTTACCCAATGAAGTATATATAATTCAAAATGTATAATTTTGATTTCCTGAAATTCTGTTTGAGGTAAACAAAACAAGATGTTCAGTGGAATGTCCATGCTGCACTTTTCCTATAATAAAAGACAATGAACTGTTGTCCAGGGGATATAAAACAGCATATATTTTTCCCCTTAAAGAGACGGTTCACCTAAACCTCAAAAACTATTTCTTTATCATTTACTCACACTCGAGAGATTCTGAACTTATGAATTTCTTTCTTCTTTTGGACACAAAACAAGATATTGTCAAGAATGCTAAAAAGTGGCCAATTACATCCAAATATACTAAATACCTTCAACTGAAGTCAGAATTATTCGCCCCCCTTTGAATTTGTTTTTCTTTTTAAAATATTTCCCAAATAAGGTTTAAAAGAAGAAGGAAATTTTCACAGTATGTCTGATAATATTTTTTCTTCTGGAGAAAGTCTTATTTGTTTTACATTTTGGCTATAGAATAAAATCAGTTTTTTAAAAACACGATTTTAAGTTATTAGCCTCTTTTGGCAATTTTTTTTCCTGATAGTCTACAGAACAAACCATCATTTTACAATGACTTGCCTAATTACTCTAACCTGCCTAGTTAACCTAATTAACCCGGTAAAGCCTTTTTAAGCTGTGTAGAAGTGTCTTGAAGAATATCTAGTAAAATATTATTTACTGTCATCATGGCAAAGGTAAAATAAATCAGTTATTAGAGATGAGTTATTAAAATATGATTAGAAATGTTTTGAAAAAGTAATAAGATTGCATGTGCAAGTCTGCAGCCAGCCAGAGAGGCTACTATCGAACCAGTCGCCTCAGAACTTTATTGAGGAGCAGAATGTTTTTGCTTGTTAAAACGAGCAGAGGGCGACATCTGCAGTTTGATTGATGAAAATCCTCATCAAACCCTGACACAAAGCTTTTTCTCAGTCTTTATCAACGATTTTAAAAACTAAGAGATCTGCATGTCAGAAAGACATGCAGTTTTTTACACAACATTATGCCTTTATATAACCTTTTGGCAACATCATGTTTAACTTAAGTAGAGTTAAGAAAACAATATTCACCTTATTTTTTACCACAGGATCATCATATTATTTAATAATAATACATGTTGCAGATTTTGTTTTCATTATTTTATTCGTTTTGTTGCTGCCGTTTAAGGAAAATAAGATTTCAACACATTTCTAATCATAATAACTCATTTCTAACTGCTGATTTATTTTATCTTTGCCGTGATGACAGTGAATAATATTAGACGAAAACTTTCAAGATATTCAGCTTAAATGCATATTAAAGGCTTGGTTAATTAGGTTGGGGAGGAAACTCGTGAATAACAGTGGTTTGTTTTGTAGACAATGAAATAAAAAATAAAAAACTTAAGAGGGCTAATAATTTTGACTTTGGATTTTTTTCAAGCTAAATTAAACATTTTCCAGAAGAAAAATCGAAGAGGAAATACCTTGAAGCAGAGAATCGAGAAGACAGTCAATATGGTGAATAAAGCTCCGCCTACTAGTACAGGAGCCAATCATCGATCGTTATATGGTGAAAAAAGCCCGCCATCTCGCACAGGAGCCAATCATCGATAGCTAAGGACTGACGATACTCTGGTGGAGAGGCTTGGACCAGACAGATTTTGTGTGATTTGGATGTTTAGAAATTGTTGTTTAATTCTAATGGTGATTCCTAATATGTCATGTAATCGTAAGCTTGGCAAGCAATTTTAGAGAATCTGATGTTTCCCCATTCAGACAGAATGCCCGAGCATACTGCCCGAGAGGCGTTTCAAAGATGGCCGCCGTGTGAAAAGACTTACCTTAAAGGTATATTGACAAGGTGCAGTGGAGGACTGGACATCCAGAGCCATATATATATATATATATATATATATATATATATATATATATATATATATATATATATATATATATATATATATATATATATATATATATATATATATATATATATATATATATATATATATATATATATATATATATACACCGATCTATATATATATATATATGTACGCACATACATAGATGTCTATATATATGTGTATCTCTGCATGTATATGTATATACCTCCATACCTGTATATATATATCATATACATAGACATATATATCATAGATAGATATATATATCTATATATATATACATATATATATATATATATATCTATCCATATACATATACAGACATATAGATATATATGATACATATGTACATATCTATAGCTCCACATATATATATATATATATATATATATATACATATATATATATATATATATATATACATATATATATATATATATATATATATATATATATATATATATATATATATATATATATATATATATATATATATATATATATATATATATATATATATATATATACATATACATATATATATAGATATATATATATATATATATATATATATATATATATATATATATATATATATATATATATATATATATATATATATATATATATATATATATATATATATATATATATATATATATATATATATATATATATATATACATATATATATATATATACATATATATA